AGACAAAATGAAATGGGAAGTCAGGCGGTCCGGGGTTCTAACTCCAGGCCTCTTGCTACCTGGTTGTGTTAGAAATAGCATGGCGGATAAAATAGATATAAAGCTACTTGCCTAAGATCAATAGACAGGAGATAAAGCAGTATGGAATAACGAAAACAAACTCAGTGTAAGATACCAATAGGGTTTAGGTATCATTTTTGGCTGATTTTTTTTGGGGGGGGGGTGGTCCCAGACTCTTAATCTGTAAAATAAGAGGGTTGAATTAGAAATTCTTTAATGTTCTAAGATTCTGTGATTCTTTGGGGGGAGGGAGAGGATCTTCACCACCCTCAGTAGCCTCCATTTTTGGTCACTCAGGACTGAATAAGCTTAGAGTTTACCAAGGGATGAATCATTTCATCGACCGACCATGAGGGGACAGCCCAAATGCTTCATGTCTGTCCCCACAGGGAGGGGCAGACATGTGACTGAGAGACAAGAGACACATCCATAATAAAAACAGCCACCATTGCTTTATGTTTCCCTTACCTCCATGTTTCCCTTTCCAAAAACATGTTTTTGTAGAACTACTAATGCTACCACAAATCAGGCATCTTCTTAATCCCCTATCCCCCCTCGACCAGGTCTCAGTCTAGATTTCTGAGGTGGGCAGGTCAATGCCACAGGAATGGAGTCAAACAGATGGACTGGCATTGGAACCAGCCAATTGCCAAATTCATCCCTAACTCATTAAGAGACCACCTATATCATTCACAGTCAACTCGCGTGGAATTGGAGATTCATTCACACACAGAAACATTCAGGATGAGAAACTGCAGGAAAGGAGTCATTTCTTCATACCATTTCCCAAACTATTGGGCCCCCACTGGTTATGCCATGAATGACAAAAATAGAGCCAGCTGGGGCTTTTGGGCATCCTCACACAAGGAGCAAGGAAGAAGTTATAGGAGACAGAATTCTGAAGAGGTAAATTAAAACAACATCCATTTTTCCCAGAAAGAGAAGTTAAAACACCAGCCACCAACTGATTAGCAGCTACCAAAAGGTGACTTGATGGAATACAATTACATAATTCCATGGCCATGGGGTTCTTGGTTAAAATCTCCTTTCCCTGTCATGCTTGGGACAAGGCATTGCTTTCTTGGACAACAACACCCAACTCACTGGTTCAGTGTAGAGCTTCAATGTGATAATACTGGGCACCTGGGTGGCTCAGTTGGTTAAGCGACTGCCTCCGGCTCAGGTCATGATCCTGGAGTCCCTGGATCGAGTCCCGCATTGGGCTCCCTGCTCGGCAGGGGGTCTGCTTCTCCCTCTGACCCTCCCCCCTCTCATGTGCTCTCTCTCATTCTCTCTCTCTCAAATAAATAAATAAATCTTAAAAAAAAAAATGTGATAATACCTAGGAAAGCACCACAGAGAATGTAACATGTAACTGATATTCAATGTTAGTTCCCCTTCTTTGTCTTAAATGCCTAAAATGGTGCAAAATGACCATTAAGACGGTTTCTTTACAGTTAAGTTCTAGCAAGTTGAGTTTCGGTGACAAATGGTACTTGCGCTTTTTATGAAAAGGAAGTCCCAGAAGAGCCAGAGTGGGTGGGGGCCTGGAAAGTTCCCACTCAGTAAGCGTCTACACTGTGGAATGTCTGGACAACCTCTCAAAGAACATCAGGAATACAGTCTTAAGTATAAAACCTCTGGACCTTTGTGATATCCTCTTAAGGTTAGGGACTTAAGCCGGCCTCAACACAACAGATTTGCCCATTTCCAGAAAGGTGCACCACCCAAAACAGACATAAGATGCCAAGGAACAGTGACCCTCCCAGACTGGGTAGAGAGACTGGGGTGGGGTGTTTAATCATCTCAAATTGGGAACCTCTTCTAAAAATAAAGATTATGCCATGACCTGGGAGGACACCAGCCAGCCCGGTCTCCAGAGGCACGTCACTCCTGAAGTAATTGCTACCCACTTCTGTTTCATCAAACAACATAAAAATACATTTGAAAACATCGCACAACTCCAGGAAATGGGGAAAGTCGTGTGGCATGCATTCTGGGTTTTGAGCCACAGGGAATTTGGCCCTCGGCCCAGTTTGCCTAGAAGCAAACGGTTTCCTCGGGCTAAAATGTCCTCCCCATCCTCCCCTCCAACCCAGCCTTCTTAGACTAACTTCTATTTCTTCTTCAAAACTCAATTCAAGTAGGACTTCCCTGAGGAAGTCTTGGTTGACTTTTCTGCAGCTTACTGGTACTGACCTGCGCTGACCTCTCTTGAGCTACTTATCACAATGATTAGTCTGTTTCCCCACTAGAACATAAACTCTGAGGGCATGGCCTTGTCTTAGTCTCCCTCACACCCAGCATGGTTCCTGGTGTGTGGTAGATGCTCAATTTTTGCATGTTGAATGAATGAAATGAATGAATGAATGGGCAACAAAAAGCACGTTCTAGTCCCAGGGAAGACCTGCATTAGGAAAACGTATAGGTAGCAGGAAGGGGCAGGTCGACACCAGGCAGGGCTGGCCCTTCCCTGCTAGCAGCTCTAATGCATCTGCCCTGCCCAAGGCATGGTGGCCCCAGTGCTCCCAGCATCCTCTGGGGAAGACGAAGCCATGAACCAATCTGGGCTCAGATAATGAGGCCTTCAGGGGAAACCGACAAGGACACAGGAAGATGCGCCAGGACCCAACTGCCAAAATCAACAGCTCTAAATCTGGACCCTCCAAAATGTCCTTCTACCAAAGAGCATGACCACTCTTTCCTTTGCCAGAAGGACTCTTCTGGAAGCACTCTTAATTAACAGAGCTCTGAATCTGGCCTTCAGGCATGGCAAGTTCTTCTTCTAGTCCCCAAAGCTTCCAAGCAGAGCCCTCCTAGCCTGCCTGGCAGGGGAGGAGCCTGGATGTTGACTAAGTGGCTTAATTAGCCGCAGAGCCTTCAGGCACCAGGCAGAGACCAGGCACAGCAAGTGGCTGGGACTTCCTGGGCAGTTTGGTTACACCTTACAATTGCTTTTCATCAGTACGGTCCTTCCCCTTCTTGAGCAGAGCAGTCCATGTGCCTTTTGTCTCCTTTTAGACCCTGCAGCCAACCTGGCAATGCAGTGTCAATTCCAAACAAGAAGACAAGTGGTCACCACGACCCTGCAAATAGCAAGATCCCCCTGGGCTGACCCTGGAAACGCCACACTATGCTTTTGTGGGGAGATGTTTTGGGATTTCCTTTATGCTTCTCCGGGGGGCTTCAAAGGCGCCCATTTCTGGCTCCCAGAGGCCTGAAATTCCTCCTTGAGAGTCCCGTCCTTTGGATTTCAGATTGAAGCCAGAAGGCCATGGAAAAAGCAACCCCTTCCCTGACAACCCAGTGTGAAGGAGGTTCTCAGATCTCTCCCTAAAAATAGGATGTCCTGAGGGGGGACCCTTTGACATGGGTCCTGGCCAGAACCACACCCAGGAGCCAAGTAAAAGGAGAGGAGCTCAGGACATCGAATATAACCTTTGCCAAGCGCATGCTACTGCCCAGGGTCAGGTCTGAAGTCAACTGTGTTTAAAACTCCGTGGCCTCACAGACACGTGAAAAAGTGCTCAGTATCATTCGGCATCAGGGAATCCAAATCAAAGCCACAATGAGATACCACCTCACACCAGTCAGAATGGCTAAAATTAACAAGTCAGGAAATGACAGATGTTGGTGAGGATGCAGAGAAAGGGGAACCCTCCTACCCTGTTGGTAGGAATGCAAGC